ACCAGGAGACTTCCTAGTCCCACCTGGGGCATGAAGCCATCTGCAGGACCTTGGGCCACTCCCTCTCAGCCCTAGGAACCCACCATATGGCTGGCTGGGGAATTCTGGGAGTTGACGTCTATATATCTTAGAGCTGTCAAAGTTGAGGAACTTTGCTTAGGAAGGAGACAACGGCAAGTCACGTCTAAAAAAAACTTTGTCAAGAAAACTGTAAGGACTCGTCCAGGCAGTCTAAGAGAATTGGACACGGAAGAAGGAAAAACCCCTCAGCTTTGATGTGAGATGAAGATGAATGGGAGATGAATGTCCTTGGTTTGTTTGTTGATTGGTTGCAGGGGAGCTCAGCAGTGGGACCACCTTGTCGGGCCCAGAATGAAGTCAGGTTGGTCAAATTGGCAGGGCTGTGCCCTGCCTTGGATTCTGCCTCCAACTGGAAGCGTGCGGGAATACCCCCATTGCGCCTGTCCTCAAAGGTTTTGCCTTTGGAGAAAACGGTGCCACCAGACGCCACCTGGCTTTTGCATGTCCAACTCCAGAAGTCATGTTTGACTGATGGGCGAATGCCAGCTGGGTTACAGTTCTGATCTGGGTGGGAAAGCTACATACTGTAAAGGGCAGCATAGCTGGCTGGAGAATTCTGGGAATTGAAGTCCACAAGTCTTAAAGTTGCCAAGTTTGGGGACCTCTGAGCTAGGAAGACAAACAGACCAATAATTCTCAACTTTTAAGATTTGTGGACTTCAACTCCCAGAACTTCCCTGACAGCATGGTTGACTGAGGAATGCTGGGAGTTGACCTCCACTTATCTTAAAGTGGCTGAGTTGCGGAAACACAGCTCTAAAGCACAAGATATTTCCTCTTTATCCATGGACCGATTTGAAGACCTCTCTCTCCCACCAGAATATGTCGGAACTTTATGAAATAAAGGGAAATAAATGGTGCCTGTTTCCAGCCAGGATTCTAGAGCCATGCAGGAGGTCAGGTGCTAATTAAATGGGGGGGGGTTAAAGAGGGGGGGGGGCAGGGAGGGGGGGAGGGAATAAAATCAAAGCAGCAGCTGCAACTGTGCAATTAAAACTCCATCTAAAAAAAAGAGAGGAACTTTGCACAGTTGCAGGTGCCACCTTGACTTTTTGGACTTCCTTTGCTGCCTCCCCAACATTTCTAAAGCTGGAGTTTATATTCCTGGGACTTTTTTGGGTTTTGTTTTGGCAAGGCATTTCATTTGGGTGTGGCATCAAGGGTAAAGCTGAATTTGATTTCAGTAACATTAAATAAATACATAGAATAAGGTTATGACAGCCAGATATAAGCCAGCACCTCAAAGGTGCTGAATTTCAAGTTGGGAAACCTTCCATTCTAATCCCGTCCTAGAAGCCACCTGGGGAGGGACACGGGCCTCTCTCACAGCCTGCTGGAAAGGGGAGAAGGCGGCATGTCCAAGTATCTTGCCCAGAAAATAACAGGGACTTGTCTGAGCACCCACCAGAAGTCAAAATGGACTTGAAAGTTCAAAGAGAAAAAGAATGGGGGGGGGAGGTGTCATCCAGTCACCTTAAAGCAGGGGTCTCCAACCTTGGCTACTTTAAGCCTGGCGGACAGCTTTGCTGTCAGGGGAATTCTGGGAGTTGAAGTCCGCCAGGCTTAAAGTGGCCAAGGTTGGAGACCCCTGCCTTAATGCATAAAAAGTATGCAGGGAGGGGGCTGCTCTCTCCCTTGGGCTTCACTTTCAGGATTCTTGACATTTCCCAACTTCTGGCAACTTTAAGAGCTCTGGACTTCAACTCCCAGGATCTCCCAGCCAGCATGGCAACCACTGAGCTCAAGGTTCCCTTCCCATGAGAGCATTTTCACCAGCCTGTCGCCCTTCTGCTCCTGGGCATCTGGAGGTGGAAGAAGTTGGAAACTGGAACTTGGCCACCTGTTTCAGGACTAAGCACCAAGTTCCGGTTAATTCCTGTAGGGCCTTTCTCACATTTTTCCTACTTTCCTTTTTCTCCCTGGCACCCCTGACATGCCATGTGTATTAAGCTCAGTTGCTTCCGCTGTGGCTTGGGAGGGGGGCTTTGGAATCTGGCCCCACTTCTGTGGTCATTTCATCTGCTACTTTATGCAACCAGCCCTGTCCCAACCACATTCAAAGCCACATTTCGGAGGGCAGACTCTTGAATTCCTATGTGGCTGTGGCGGCATTCAGACAGCTTTCATCCATTGTCTGCATTTGCACAATGCACTCGACTGTAAACGAACCAACCAGGCTGGAGTTGGACAGAATATAGCCCACAAAAACCAACCTAAAACCAACCAAGAGTAAAAAGAACCACAATTAGCGAGTTGAGCAAATAGAGTAACTGGGCTTGTACCGGACTTTTAGCTGTGGTGTGTTGTACACTGCCATTAAGTCACAAGGTAGTTTGTATTTGTGTGTTTTGTAAACTTGAGCACAGTGTCTGAATCTTTATGACTTATTATTATTATATATTATTACTATTACACATGAACCCAGACCTTTGTAGTTTCTCAATTTGTTAAGCAAAATGTATTACAGCCTAATTTAGGAACCCAATTATTAAGTGAAGGTTTTATCAGAATGAAAAAAAAAATGTAGGGAAAACTTTACCCTCAAAGTTTTAGTAAATCATGTTCCTTTCAAAGATCAGAAGAAAAAAATGGATCAGAAAATAAATCATATTAGTCAGAAGTCCAGGACTTAATCTGATTCATGTTTCGCTATAGACTGATTGTCACAGCGAAGGACAGTCACTACAGACTAAACTGGGGGAAATTAGCAGATTAATTCTTGTCCAGTCACAGATGCAGTGAAATATTTAAACGTGTTCTTTCTCTTTCTCCTGCAGGGCTTGTTTTAACTGCTGGGCAGATGGAGAGCTTGGCAAAGGGAAAGCGGCAAAGCTGGCTGGCTATCTTGTGAGAAAGGCTCCCAAGCCCACCCTGCTTAACTCTGCAAACCGGCACAACCTACCGGGGGTCTCTTTTGCCTGAGCTGACACCAATCTTCATGCTAGCCTTGCAGAAACGGGGGTGACACTGAATTTGCATTTGCACCCAACCTCTCTGGAACAGGGGGCTGCTGGTGATCTATTTCCCTCAAAGCAGGCCAACCCAACTTTACACCTGTACGACCCTCAACATCGGGACCAACCCCTATTTAACAAACGGAGCATTGGTACCATTCTAAGGTCTGAATGAAGAGCAAACAATTTCCTTATTAAACAACATTCAAGTTAAGGAACTGACTGACACGAGCTGGGGGTATTAACCAGCCGTAACCCAAACTAAATATAAACAAACGCCTGTTTTGTGGGGAAGGTTCATGTGGAAGGGAAACACTGGTTTCCCTTAATCAGCAGCAGCAGCACCCAAGTATAACACAGCAAAATAGGTCCCTCGCCCCTCCCGAGCACGCGGTCCGAGTGTAGGCCCATCCGTATAGCAAAATTTCGGTCCCTCGTCCTCCTCCGGTGTTTCATTCGGCCGACCAACAGAGCTGGCAGGGGAGAAACACTCACAAGCTCCGTGTTCCAAAGGCTGCACATTTCTCACACTCAGAAAGTTTAGGGCTAATTAGGAGGACCTCAGTTACAGTGAAGCAAGTTGGGGGGGAGGGGGTTGCCCTCCCTTTTGTTCAATGTGATTAGCACCCATAGAATATAATCAACACAGATGAAATGAAATAACAGCAATTAAAGCTATTTCTTGTCATCCACATACTCCCTTATGCTAGGGCAGGGCCCGTAAGCACCTGAAGTTTGCAGTCTAAAGTACAGAGCAGGGCAGAGGCCCTGAAGTCACAAAGCACCGGGGGGGGGGGGGGGGGGGGGGGGGAATAGAATTAGGCCAAAGCAGCAAGCGCTCCCTGCATTTCCTTCTGACTTCAGGCAACCTGCCAATCTAGCTGCTGAACGGAAGGAGTGCATCACACACATTGTGATGTCACCTGCATGGTGCAAAAGGTGCAGCTTACACAATTTGCTGTTGACCTGGTTGGCAATAAAATCAACATTATTACCCAGTCAATCACTCACATACCACGGTGCCCCCAACGCTCCTCCTCCTGCTGTGCTTCACAAACCATAGTCTATGAAGGAGTCCGTATAAACACAGTTTGGACCTGGCAAGTTGGAAGGTGGACGGGTTCAACTCCTAGAACTTCCCAGCCAACCAGGCCATCTGGAGAATGCTGGGAGTTGGGACCATCCATCTTCAAGTTGCCAAGGTGGAGAAACACTGAACTACTCGAGTCAACAGGGCCAGGCTAGCGCGGAGGCCTCCCTTGCCAGGTCTCCCGCCCTTCAGGCACACAATGCTGTCGCCCAACCTGGGGCACAAACCCTGGATGGGGGAGTCCGAATTCACCAATTCGAGCCGCACTTCGGAGACCGGGACTTCGCCCCGACGGTCTGCGGGCACCAACCGCCACGACGGCGATTGGCGGGGCCACTGAGGAAAGCTGCAGCCGCAAGGAGGGTTAGGGCAGCGCCCGCCCACCCCGCCTGGGCTCCCGGGGCTTCAGGCGTTGCCCAAACTTGCCGAGCTTTGCCACTCAAAAGCCCCGCGGGGAGCCCCGGCCCTCCAGCGGGAGGCAGAGAGCAGGCGCCGAGGGCAGCTCCGGCAGGGGAGCCCCGAAAGACTGAAGCCGCCCGCGGTCGACCTGTTCCCGGGCAGCCCCGGGCCCCGCAGCCGGAACCGCAATGCAGCCTCCGCGCGCCGCCTCCCGCCTCGCCAGAGGACCTCTGAGCGCGTGCCGAGCGCCAGCCCGCCCGGCCTCTGCGCTTCCCAGGAGGCGCATCAAGGTCACGCCGCTGCCGCGGGCGGACCGGCCGGGAGCTTCGGAGGCGAAGGGCTGCCACCGGGGGAAGGCGGAGGAGCCACCCCGAGTCCCCGGCGCCCTTCCGCGGGCTCTGCCGGGAAGCTTCCGTCCTGGCGCCCGGCGAGCACCTGCCCCGCCTGCAACCGCCGCCCCACCTGTCCGGCCCTACCTGTCCTGGCCCGGTGGGCGCGGGCGAAGCTCCAGAAGGCCCAGGGCCGGGCGCCGGGAGCGCTGCGCTTGCGGGACGCGTTGCCCATGGCCACCTAAGCCGCCCCCCCCCCCGCCCCGCGCCCCCGGCCCCACCCCGCCCCACCCCAGCAGGAAGGGGAGGAGGAGGAGGAGGAGCGGGGCGCTACACGAAGGCTCGGGAACCCCCAGCGCCTCCCCGCCCCAGCGGAGCCTCGGCGCCCGCTCAGCCCGGCCCCCGACGCTGCCTCGCCGCCGGGACTACCGCGGAACCAATGGAGGCACCGGGGAGGAGCCCGGAGCGTCCCCGCCGCCCTGCTCCGTTGTCAGGTGGCCGCTGGGGGGGGGGGCGCCCTGGTTCGGCCCCCCGGGACTGAGCCCTCCGGTCACCTGGCTTCTGGGAGGGGAATCAAGAGGCGGTTTATGGCAGCCGCCCCGCCCCCGCCCCCCCCGTTTTGCCAGGTTATCCTTCCTGGAATCCCTGGCCATTGGCCAAGCGGGCTGAGCCTCATGGAACTTAGAGTCCAACTCCACATGGACTAGGTTTGTATTCGGGTGGGCTTCGTGGTCACAATTATTGGGGCTGATTTCTTTAGACACACGCAGTGCGTCACCTGAACACAGGAAGGCAGCAACAGAGCTAGAGATGTTCGTGGCCACCATGGCAAACAGCAATGTGGTTTCCTTCACCTGGGTTTAGAAACTGGCACGTTATGTGAGCCGAGAGATGAAACATCCTGTTTTCCCCACCCATAGTTCACATTCAGAAATTAAATCATACTTGTGCAATCAAATCGTGTACATTGTTATTATTACATCCAGGCACTCTATAGAGTTATGGTGTGTATGGCATCCAAGTGCCGGGCATCCTCCTAAGGAGCCTTCAACATCATCACACAGGAAGCACATTCAGGCCCATCATTTTGGCCTCCTGAAGAGTCTCGCCTGTTTTCTATGAATGCCACCATTGCATAAACTTGAATCGGTTCCAGAAATCCTGACATAGTCCATGACTTACAACCTTTCATTTAGTGACTGTCCAAAGTTACAATGGCCCTGTGAAGAGACTTATGACCATTTTTCACCCTTAAGACCAGAGGCCCCCAAACTTGGCAATTTTAAGACTTGTGGACTTCAACTCCCAGAATTCTCCAGCCAGCTCTGCTTAAAGTTTGGGGACCCCTGCTTAAGACTGGTACATGATCAAAATTGAGATGTGTGGCAGCTGGCTTGCACTTCTGATGGTTGCACAGTCCTGGGGTCATGTGGTCACCTTTTGTGACCTGACAAAGTCAATGGGGAAGCCAAAAATTATTTAACAACCGTGTTACTAACTTCACAGCTGCAATGATTCATTTAACAACTGTGGCAAGAAAGTAAAATGGCGCAAAATAAACTTAACAACTATCTTGCTCAGCAATGGAAATTTGGAGCTCAGTTGTGCTCATAAGTCAAGCGCTACCCGTCCAAACATTCAAAAAACTCACTCCATCATAACCTTGGCCGTTTTTCTCTGTCGGTACTCCAGCCTCTCCTAACTCCTGGCTTACAAACAGGAGCAGTGCACATCAAGCAAGGGGCAGGGGGATATGGTCACGCAGGGGCCGTCTTGAAGTCTTTGATACACGTGGATCCCACCTTGCTTCCAAGTGCCAACACAATTTGGAAGTGAGTGACGGTGTTCCTGGAAGGGAGTGAATGGCTCTGGGGACAGGGTGATATTTTTTTTTTATTTTTTAAAGGAAAATGGTGCATTAGGCTCAGAAGAGACTTATTTGCTTCTGATTTTGGCTTTTTCAAAAACTCAAAAACCACACAACCTATATTGTCCATGTCATCCAGAGCAGGGGTCTCCAACCTTGGCCACTTTAAGACTTGTGGACTTCAACTCCCAGAGTTCCTCAGCCAGTTTTGCTGGGAGTTAAAGTCCACAAGTCTTAAAGTGGCCAAGGTTGGAGACCCCTGATCCAGAGGCCCCCAAAGACCTGACCAGAGACCAGCTGGGCTGGCTGCTGGTCAGGAAAGCTGCCTGCCCCTCTACTAAGAATGGGAGAAAGAGAGAGATTCATTTTGGTAGCCCTTCCCTTTTTAGAAAAGTTGCACGGATTCCCATTCACTTAAGGTGCAGCCAAGGAAACGGTGGTTTACCAGCCAGCATTGACCTCTGTGGAGATTTAACCGAGCAAAGCGAAACTCTGATTCCTTGGCTGACCTTCTGCAAAGCTTTCTCCTTGAAGTTACTCTGCTGTACAGGAAGTCCTTGAGTTACAACCATTGGAAGATAACAACAGCACTGAAAAAAGGGGCTTGCAACCAGTCCTTACACTTACAATGTTGCAGCGTACCCACATGGTCAAAATTGGTATGGTTGCCGTGTGTTTATGGTCACTGCAGTGTCCTAGGGCCATGACACCCACCTGCAAACTTCCCAGAGGGCTTTTAACAAGTAAAATCAGTGGAAGCTAAGGACTCCCTGGTTCTCTTAACAACTGCAGCAATTTGCTACACAATCATGGCAAAAGTCATAAAATCAGGCATGACTCACTGTTAACAATTGCTTTGCTCCGCCATGGAAGCTCCTCACCCCCCTTGTGGTCCTTGGTCAAAGACCACCCGTACTGTACGGCAAGGAGATTGTCCATCGCAGCCACAAGGGCCATGCCATCTCCTCACCCTCGTGGCCTGCAAGCACCCCCCCCCTTTTGCCTCCCAGTGGGGTTCACACCAGCACCCCCTCAAATACTTAACAACATACCTGCGATGAAAGCAGCACATTTTCAAATATTTTTATTTGCAAGTCAACATGAAGCGCAGGGGGCAAATTCTCCCAAGGATTTTTAGTCTACAATGCCTTGCTGGAAGCCTCACTGGGTGCCAGGCTTTCATTGCTGAACTATAGTGACCCACGGGTGTATTTCCCAGGAAACCTACCAAGCCCCTAGTTAATTTGGGCCAATCCTGTTGGATCCCAGCATCCTTCTAGGGGGTTGAGAAGAACAAAGTCTCCCACCGAGATTCACTTTTGGCTCTGCCCAGCATTTTGGAACGGAAGGAAAATATGGAAAGCCTCGAGTTGCCACAAAGGTGAGTCCAGACTCAGAAAGCTGCCCGAAGCCGCTCCTGCTCTGAGAGGCCTTAAGCTCCCACCCCAGCTGAGAACTGGAAAGGGAAAGGAAGGGAAGCTGATTAAGTGAAAGTCTTGGGTCAAGTTATGGGTCATTGCAAGGTTGCCGGCGAAGGTGCTTTCAGGAGCAGCCGCATCGGTTTACAAAGGAGCATTCCAGCCTCTGGAAGCAAAGCCTTCCCTCGGAAGGAACAAAGGCCTACCTGCTTCTAAAACAAAACCAGGAGGTTAAGATCTGAAATCATTAACAGAAATGAGCCAGGAGGCTCCCAGCTCTTTCCTGCTGAAACCTGATTTTGCCCCCGCCCCCCGTCCCCCAGGGCACCTGCCTCCTCCTCCTCCCTCCCCTTGCAAGCCAGAGTGATGGCAAAAGAGAGCCGTGTGCGTCCTGTGTCCCTTCCGTGGGATTTGCCCTGGGGTGAGGTTGCCTAAGATGACACTCTCGCCAATGGCCCCTGGATTCCTCACGTGCAAAAGCAGCCTACAGAAACTCCAGCACCGGTTGGACGAGTCCCGTCTGCTGCTGCCCTGGGTGTTTGCTCAGCTCTCCCGTCTTCCTGCCTTTCAAAGACAGACTGTCTTCAGGAGGAAGCCTCCTTTTGCCCAGAAACTTGGCTCCAAAGCCTTCCTGGGCTCTAAAAAGGGATCAGGTGTTGCTGTTGCACAAGGACCTCCTCGCCCATCTTCGGGTGGAAAAGACACACACATCTCTTTGTTAGCCAAGCGACTCTCTGCCTTTTCCAGCACACACCGGGTGCAAAGTTCTCCATCTCAGAAATGCCATTCTCAGCCCTCATAATCCTGCAAACTAACCACAATATTTCCCAACGACGAGTCCCTGGAAACCAGTTTTGCAATCCAGCTCAGGGTGCAGTTAATGAGCCAATACACACAAACACACACACAAACACACACACAGAGAGAGTGGCTTTAGATTTTTTTTCCTTCTAGGGATGTAGCAGCCTTCTCCAACCTGTCCCCTCAGGACGTGCTGAACTACAAACCCATGATTCTCAGCCAGGTATTACCATCAGTCGTAAACCTATGAGGACTGTCCATGAGGACAGATACATTTTCCCTTGCAGAACCAGACAGGACCAGGCCAGGGGCTTTCCTTAGCCAAGCCGGACCACCTCCCTGCTTACGCAGAGCCGCCTCTGCCCTCCTATCTGCTGTGGGGCAAAGCCAGAGGCCCTCCCTCTGGGGAAGACTTTTAAAGCTGGCAGCACGGATGGGGTGCGGGGGGTGGGATTGGCTGCTTTAGGCAAACACGTAACATCAGGAGGCTTGGCTTTTACAAGCCAGGATGCATTACGTCTCAGCATGTCTCTGAAGTCAAAAGGCAGCTTGTTTATTTTGAGTACCGGCAGATTGAGGACGATGGTTTAAAAAGAGGGACAAATGTTTGGAGGAAGAGAGGTCTGTTGTCTCGTCCTTGTTTTGAACAATGACTATGATCTGCTAAGCCCCCAAAGGCCCCCCAGAAACATCAGCTGCCTCCTTGCCCCCACCCCCCCACCCCCGAATGTCCGCAGGAAAGACAACAATGAGGGGGAGGGGCGGGGGGGAGAATAGCATCAGCATACAAAGGATGTGACTGGTTTAGTTGCAACCTGATATCATGAGCTAAAGAGGCAAAGTGCCTCGTTTCCATCACGGCATAACACCGCCCCTATAACGGAGGATATCATAAAGCAGCAATATCACCAAAGCATTCAAGGGTTGAAGCATTGGGGTGTGCGACGTGGTGATGAGGCAAGTTTGGGGGCACAGCATTTCCGGCTTCAGGCCTCCACGTCCCTGAAGGCCAGAGCCAGCCTCCCCTCCAAAGAACCTGCGGCATCGCGGCCGTCGCCATTGGTAACCTTCCCAGCCGACTTCGGACAACAGGGGAAGCCAGAGTTGTTTAATGATCACAGGATTCACTTAATGACTGCAGTTAGTCATCTAAAACTCCCAGCAAAAATGT